AGTAGTTTTATGGGTCTGATGAGATTGGAATTAGAAATTGTCCGGATACAAAATGCTTGTCATATATCCTAATAGTACCTTCTGAATGATTTTCTTTACATATACAATTGTGATATGGATAAAACATGTGTGCAGATGGTATACTATGGTACATGCCGATGGATCTGTGTTGCAAACATGGGATTACCTTCGGCAGAATGGTCTTCAGGGTTTCATCAATATCTGGCCGAAGCCCTCCTTAATAGCTTGGAAGATTATTGCGTGTTATGGGGCATTTGAGGCTGCACTTCAGCTTTGGCTACCTGGGAAAAGGGTTGAGGGTCCTATATCCCCTAATGGAAATAGACCCGTCTACAAGGTAGTATTACTTCAAGATCATTATACATATATGTATGTATTTTTTTTTTCTTTTTTTCTTTTTTTTTTCATGCAAGAATGCAAGCCAACATCAGGATAATAGACATTTTTTTTTCTTGTTTCATTATGTTCTTCCATAATTCTGGTTTTAATGTTGGTTTCATGGACTTTCCACCATCTACTTATTGCAGGCCAATGGTGTCTTGTCATATGTAGTTACACTAGTTACATATCTTGGCCTCTGGTGGTAAGAACTTTCTTCATGTTTCGCTAGCAAGTGCATTGTTGAGTTTGTTCAGAACTTTATCATGAGTGTCTCTGCTATTTTCTCATATTTCTAAGAGACCATAAACATCGAATTAGGTAACTGCTTAAAATTCGAGTGTTACAGGCTATTGAAACTTTTTAACAGCTAAGAAAGGTGCTTTCACTGATAATCTTATGATGAAGTTCATTAAATTTATTTATTTTTTCTCTATTTCGTTATCGCGTTCTTTGCCTGAGTTATGAATATCTCTTTTTTTCTGTTTTGCAGGTTTGGAATTTTCAACCCTACTTTGGTTTATGACCATTTGGGGGAGATATTCTCAGCACTTATCTTTGGAAGTCTTGTCTTTTGCGTTTTCTTGTACTTCAAAGTAAGTGTTCATGTGTTTGCAATTTTTTTTTTTTTTTTTTTTTTTTTTTTTTTTTCTGAATCATGTGATTGATTTTCTTACACTCGTTCCATATTTTCAAGGGTCATATTGCGCCATCTTCAACTGATTCTGGGTCATCGGGAAATATAATCATTGATTTCTATTGGGTGAGAAACAGCTCCATCCCACATTGCAACTTTTCTTTCACTTGCTACAAATACATAGCACCAAAGGAAAAAAGAAATTAAGAATGGAATTTGGATTTTTTTCGATCCGTAGTATTAGAACTCGAAAGCCTAGATACATGTACCAATTTGTATTCCTTTTTTATTTAGTGCTTATTTCTAATTATTGCTTGAATTCTATTTTTCTATAGGGAATGGAGTTGTATCCTCGTATTGGAAAAAACTTTGATATCAAAGTTTTTACTAACTGCAGATTTGGGATGATGTCATGGGCTGTTCTTGCCGTCACTTATTGCATAAAGCAGGTATACATGGGGACCATTTCCAAATTCTTGAAACTTTGCGATTGATATCCATGAAAACTACATTTATATTTTTGTATATCATACCTTTATTTTATTTTCTCAATGTACCGTCAATCACTTCTGAAAATTTGCTCCATTTTCTTGTCACAGTATGAAACATATGGGAAGGTGTCCGATTCCATGCTGGTTAACACTATATTAATGTTGGTTTATGTAACAAAGTTCTTCTGGTGGGAGTCTGGATATTGGAACACAATGGATATTGCGCATGATAGAGGTCTGCTTTACTTTTACATTGCACATTTTATTTTTTTCATTTTTCATTTCCAACTTTCAATATTCTCGTTAATACCAAGTATATTGCTGGTTGAATCTTGCCATGACTGGAGACTTTCGTAACTTCAATCGCAGCTGGCTTTTACATATGTTGGGGATGCTTGGTCTGGGTCCCATCTGTGTATACTTCTCCTGGCATGTACCTCGTCAATCATCCAGTAAATCTAGGATTGCAGGTTCGCACGACTGTCCATTTTTCTGTCCCTTTTTCATCCCAATCTACTATATCATTTGAATTATAGTTTGGATTGTGTTTTATTTCACAAAAGGGTACAGGATTAAAAAACCCTATAAAATCATCATTTTAGTCCTAATTTGGGTTGTGTTCAACTCAATTAATAATATTTGTGGGTGTATGTATACAAAAAAGGGCCAGATATATAAACACAAACGGCCACATATAAGCATAAAAAGTCGATCAACTATGATTGTCCCAAAGTATGGAGCTTTAGCATAGACAAAGTAAGTAGATGAAAAAACACAACAATTTATCCTCTCTGATCTGCATAATAGCAAATATTTGGTAATTATATTCCTTAGTCAAAATGATGTATCTTTAGAAATAATCTTTCTGCTGATGGTGAATAAAAGATGTTTCGTGCTTATATATCTTGCTGTGCGTAAAAAAGACAAGCTTGTGTCTTTAACACTGACCTTGATTGTCCTATTATGCAGCTTGCTCTCTATATTCTTGTAGCAGGCATTGTTTGCATATACATAAACTATGATTGTGACAGGCAAAGGCAGGAATTTCGCAGGACAAACGGTAAATGCTTGGTTTGGGGAAAAGCTCCATCAAAGGTTCGTAAATTAGTTGGAATGTGATTATAGATTGTTGTTCAAATGGTTGATATTTTTTATTTATTTATTTATTTATTTATTTATTCTTTATTTTTTATTTTTTGTAATTACAGATTGTTGCCTCATACACAACCACTACTGGGGAAACAAAAACCAGCCTTTTGTTGACATCAGGATGGTGAGTTATTTTCCGTTTCGTGTAAACAATTGAAAAGTGTTTGCCAACTAGTTTTGCCAACTAGTGTATCGACTCCTTACAAGCAAGTTTTTTTGCTCTTAGACAAAATCAAATATTTCTAAATGAGTATTATTTATGTGTTTTTTTGAACAGGTGGGGCCTAGCTCGTCACTTCCATTATGTTCCAGAAATCATGGGGGCCTTCTTCTGGACCGTGCCAGCTCTGTTTAACCATGTAAGCTGTAATAACAATGTTTTAGTTTTTTATTTTATCTTTATTATTATTATTATTTGTTTATTGTAATTGTTCTAACCAATTGGGACTTGTACCCGGCAGTTTCTACCATACTTTTATGTGGTGTTCCTTACGATTCTTCTTTTCGATCGAGCCAAAAGGGATGATGATCGATGCAAGTCAAAGTAAGCAGAGCATAAAGTTTAAAGTTCTTTATATTAACATCTTCTTCCCTCAGAGATGCGAACACTTGTAACTCATTTCTTTTCTTTCTGATCATGTCGCCGACCTGACTCTCATTATCATGAACTTCATTTATTATTTTTTCCCCTATTTTCTTGCAAGAATTGGTCGTTCTTATCTTAAATATGAATTTTGATGAAACTTTATTGGTTGGCAGATATGGTAAATACTGGAAGTTATACTGCGAGAAGGTCCCGTACCGGGTTATACCTGGAATTTACTGAGAATTACGGTGTGGTGAAATCCAGTGCTGACTTGAAGCAATTGCTAGAAGATATTATTATTAGCCTCAAACAGGACAGATGTTTCAGTTCTTATGGTTTTTGTCAAAGGGGCTTGTGCTGTAATCAGATCTTTCCAGTAAATTTGTTATTCTTGTAACTTTCTGCAGAAACTTTTGGAGAAAATGAATAATTTTAGAAATTTTTGTTTGTGCCTTTTGCCCGAAGTAACCAAGCAGAAATGTCATTCATACATGACAGCAATTAACTGATAATATTTAACACAGGCAGATTTCAGTCTGCAATTAACCAAATTTTCGTCGTTTTTTATGGAACTCGGACAGAAACGACTGATGAAATTGACAATTCGGAAGCTTGCAAGTGCATTATACATCACATCAGTCATCTTTCGGAAAGTGCACCTCAATGATAGTTCCTGGTTTTACCAGAAAACCTTATCTTTTAAGATAAACAACAAACAGTTCATTGTTGTACCAGAAAGCCTCATCTTTTCAGATAAACAACAGATAATATGCAACTGAAACAGCGAATTGATCAGTTGTGAAATCAAAACTGGTGTTTGAGTATTAACTTTCAGAGATAAACGACAAATAATCTGCACTTCTCTTTTTGTTTCTGCTCTTTCTTTTGACATTATTAACCCGAAAAACTGAACTAACTCGCAAAAAGCAATGAAAAATACGGTTTTACGTAATTATTTTCACCGAATATTCACTTTTAAACACCAGAATGATAAAAAAACAGTACCTCATAGAGTGGCAGGAGATGATGCAGGGTAACAAATGAACTCCACAAGCAGAAAATATTAAAAGTGAGTACCCTTTTGTTGCTCCAAAAATAACCTGCATAGTCCAAACCGGTCATGTGGAACTGCCATCAACTACATACTCCAATAGTCGATCAGTTGGTGGTTCATTAACTATCAGAACTCATTCTCACTGTTCAGCCACATTATATATCGAACAAGATAACACTGAATGTAAAAATCTACCACAAGCAACTTAACTACTCAATTCATGCTACAAGCGGTTAAATAGGCCTTCTTTATTGAACATTCCACAGATGTAGTAGTATTACAGACAAGGAAAAATACAGATAAAATCTAATCAATTCAAGTACTCAATTCCTCCCCCCAACTCCACAATAAGGGCATTTACCCAAATCAACCACTTTAATCTACAAATACAGTGTATTACTTCTAATACATTCTCAACTACTCCTATTGCTAGCATTATTATTACTGTTGTTGTTATTGTTCTTGCCATCATTGCTGTTTATAATGCCATGGTGGTTTTTATTGTTGGTCCCAGGCTTCCTCACCTTCAGCTGCGAAAGCTCGAGCTGTGTCTTCATGAAGTTTTGCATCCTTTGCAGTTCCAAATCCTTTGCAAACTTCATCCTCTGCTTTTCCATCTCCACTAGCTGCTGCAGCTTGGCAGTCTCAGCCACCTCGTAAGCCTCCCCAAATTTCAAAATGGCCTGAGTTAGCTCCTTCATCGAATTTCCCCACTTATTTCCTGCATCACTTTTCTTGTTCATCATCACGACATTTCTCGACGCATTCGCATTATTGTTCGGCATCCTTTGAAACCTCGGCCGCTTGTTGTTAGTCGCGGGAGGCAACCCATCGGAAGAATCTGCCGAATGGTCGGGCTCTGACTCATCATCCGAGTTGAAGGGCGGTCTTTTGTGGCCAGGGGCAGAGGATGATCTGAGCCCGACGGGAATACCCATGGGGGCCTTCTGCTGCATCGTGTTGTGATTGCTGTGGTTGCTGGCGGCATCAATTGATGGGGGAGCGGAGCTGGAGTTCAGTTTGGAGGTGGGCCCGACCAGCTCGTCCAGCTTGTGGTAGAATCGCCACTTGCTGGGGCCGCCGCCGGCGGCGATCTTGGCTTTCTCGGCCTTGTACTTTTTCTTGACGGTGTCGATGCGGTTCTTGCACTGGACGTCGGTTTTGGGAGGTTTTGTGTAGTCCTCGCGTGCGGCGACGATGTCGGCCACGTCCTTCCAGTGCTTCTGCTTGAGGTTGCCCCGGCTAAGCTCCAGGTACCGCTCGCCCCAGGCGTCGATCAGGACGGCGGTGGCGCCCTCGCTCCAGAAGTCCTCCCGGCCACCGACGCCGGCGGCGGCGGAGGAGGGGGTCGCCTTCTGGTGGGGCTGGATGGGGA